AGTCCAGGAGGCGGGAGCACGACGCGCGACGCGACGTGCGCCTAGGGCCGCTCAATTCTTGAGGACGCAGGACGCAGGACGCACTCAGAGCACAACTGATGGATGTGATGGGCTAGCCGAACCTGCCGCATATGGCAAGGTACCAACCTCATCTCTTGTGCTCGTTGTTTTCCAAGGGGTCTGTCGTGTCCCAAACCTAACAGAAAAATATGAATCGCGAGTATGTTGGAGACGAAGGCTTTCCGCGTCGATTGACATTACCCTTGAGGCACTTTGTGAGGGGGGATGAGTGTTATCGTCGCTCGAGGGGTTTCGAAGGCGAGCTCGTCGGCTAGTCTCGCTTAGCCCATCACCTCCATCAATGGCCTCTGACCGCGTCCTGCGTCCTGCGTCCTCAAGAATTGAGCGGCCCTCCTCGGAGACGCGTCCTTGGGGTAGGCGCCTCCGCGTCGACGGTGCGCAGCCGAGGCCAATCTGCAGCCAGCAGTGCCACCTTTTCCCTGCCTGCTATCCGCCAGCACCTCTGGCCCTCGTCTCCTCCTGTGTCTCTACCGTGGCCCTGTTTGACGCTTTTTTCACCTGCAGCGACGAAGTTCGTGCTTCTGGAGACGACGACTCACACGATTATCTCTGAGCTCGGGCATCTCTCAGACGTCTTGACCTCGTCATGGCGCAATCATCCAACCCGCCCGCCTCAAGGGCACTAGTTGTAAGCATCTGTGTGCATGTGTGCTGCCACCCCATTCTAACATGACGCATATAGGCTGGAACTGTGTCCTTCTACTTAGTTGCAGCGTTGGCTGTACGTGTTCTGAGTGCGTGTGCGACGGAAGGGGAGCTAATGCGCAGCATACTACCGCGGGCGGCGGCGTAGATGGTGATGGCGTGAGTGTTCATCTTGACCGCCTCCTTCGAATCTCAGTGTCGTTCGCGGTGAGCGTGCTCGTCTGTTTTGGTGTGTCCGCGCGCCAGAACATGAACACGAACGCGGGAGCTACGGCCTCGTCCAACGATATGCTAACTCTTGCTCAGGAATAAATGGGTCCTCAACACCACAGATACACCCCTCTTCTTTCTGCTGGCGCAGCTTATCATCGCTGTCATTCTGTTCCTCATTGCGCACACGCTTGGCTTCCTGCAGCTACCACTGCAGCTTGACATTCAAGTATGCAAAGGATTGATACCCATGGTTGGCCTGAGTGTCATTGGGCTTAGGTATGCAGCTCATTTCCTTGTTCACGTTTGATCTCTTAACATATTCTGCCATCCCCACATTTTCTTCCGTGAACAGCTTCAGCAACTATACCCTCAAGTACGTTGACGCCTCCTTCTACCAAGTCGCACGCGGCATGGTCCTCCCCTTCACCGTCGGCACTTCCTTCTTCATCCTCCACGCCCGTCCCTCGTTGCGCATTCTCGCCGCCTGCGCCGTCGTCACTATGGGCTTCTTCGTCGGCGTCTTCCTAGATGGCACTAAGGTGTCCATGATTGGCGTCTTCTTTGGCGTCGTCTCTTCGATGATCACGGCGCTACACTCGGTGGTTATCAAGAAGAGCCTGGACGTCGTGCACGGGAGCGCGCTCCACCTCTCTTGGTATACGAACTTGTTAAGCACGATCATTCTCGCCCCTCTAATCGTGCTTGCGGGAGAGTTCCCGGGTGTCATGAAGCTGCTGTTCGGCCCCAACGAGTCTGCACCGGGTGAGATGAGCACGCTCGCGACTTTTGTTCTCGGCTCCGTGATCACGGTGAGCATTCTTGCGCGGTTGGTCTGCATCTCATGTATTCACTCGTTCGTAGGGTGTCTTCGGCTTCCTTATGAGCGTGGCGAGCTTGATGTCTATCAAGGTTACCTCCCCCATCACGCACATGGTCTCTTCCGCCGTCCGGGGCGTCGCCGCCTCCTTGCTAGGGGTCTGGCTCTTCGGCGACCTCGTCAGCCAGTAAGTTTCAATACATCTCACTCCCACCGTCCGCTGTACGTGCTCATCTTCGCGCCAGTGGCCGTGCGTCATCGATCGCAATTATCCTCCTCGGCTCAATATGGTACACATGGATCAAGCACCAGGAGTCGCAGCCTGCCTACGAGCCTGTCCCACTCGATGACATAGAGGAGGGCAAGGGAAGCGGCGGAAGCAAGACACGAGCGTCGCGTGACGCTCTGGACTAAAACACTAGCTATGATGACGTTCGGGTGGTTGGTATAACATAGAAAAATGGGTCGAGTAACATGCCGCTAATACCATAGACTCTCTTTCTCGATTGGTCATGACATATCTACATAATTGGCATGCGATCGCGAAGGACTTATGAAGATTACATGGTGAGTAAGTAGTGCCTCGAACTACATGATGGGCCACGCTGATGACGTCGAAGAATGTAAGGAACAAGATCCACAGCTCATATGAGTTTATAGCCGACGCAAGCCAATCTCGTGACGAAGCAACGTCTTGCATTGGCTCACGCTGTCCGGGACGTGTTCGTGCCCGTACCGTGCAAGAGCATATGCCAGCTGCTCCACGCTAAGCGCGTTGATCGTTGCCAAATCTCGCAGGATAGGGAATGGCTGCGTGTCGCATACCGGGCGCATCAGCTACGACTGACTACTACAGGGGAATGCGCGAAACGCTCACCTGGTCATTGATGCGCCATTCGCTAGGATACGTACCATCTAGGGCGGGCACTTGCACGAAGGGAATACTCAAACCATTGCGGGCCCCGTTTTCAACCTGTACGCAGCGACGGCAACGGCCGACGTAAGGGAAGCGTCAGGCCATCGGCGTCGGTAAGAGTGCAACAAAGCCAACTCACCCGAGCTACCAGACGCTCCAGCGTGACGATCCGCCTCTGGAGCCTATCGACGCAGAGACCGAGTTCCGAGTCGAGATTGTCGATTCGGCTGTTCGTGCGCTCCTCCACTGCGCGGAGCCGCTCCTCGTAGCTGATCGTGACCTCGGTCGTCTGGTTTACCCCGGTCCCTGGAGTCTCCTCTGGCTGGGTCTTCTCTGGCTTGGTGGATGCCTCTGAGTCCGACTTGTCATCGTCATGTACCGCCCGGGATTGCGCTATCTGGGCGTCCTCGAGGAGCGCGATCTGCTCTTCGCACTTCTTGAGCCGGCCCTCAAGCCCATTTGTGGCCCTGCCGAGGCCGCTGATTTCGCCGACGAATCTATCCTCCAGCTGGACGACCTTCTCCATCATGCCCCTCATCGCCTCTTCAAGGGCCTGGCCCTTGTCCGCGTTCTTCCATTGCTCCAAGTTCCCAATCCTCCTCTCCAAGTACTCCCACCGTCCCTCGACGATATCGATCCTGCTCGCCACCCGCCGGTCCGCATGAGCCTGCGTCGCTGCCGTCCGCTTGAGGATATCCTCGCCCAAACGGTTCAGCCCGTGCTCGATCCGCCTTTCCATGTCCTTCTTGATGTCCTTCATGGTCTGGCGGACGAATGTGTCGAACCGTCGGCTTTCGGTATCGACGTAGCTACCGAACAAGATTTGCAAATTCCGCGTCTCTTTATTGACGTGCTGCTCAAATTCTTCCATCTTCTTCTTGAATGAGCTCTCCGAGACGTTGTTTTGCTCGTTCCCCTGCGCATTTACGCCTTGTGACACCTGCCGGTCGCGGTCTGACGCTCCGCGTGCGAGCGCCTCCATCTTCTGGCGAAGGAAGTCGACGCGGGTACTCCCCGCCCGCATCTCGTTGTAGAGCGCATTGAGGCAGTCCGCGACCTTCTTATCTTGTGCCGCGATGAGCTCATGGGCCGTGCGTGTGGCACACCTTCCAAGAGGCTCGTCCACGCCGTAGCCTGCAAGAACAGCGGCTTGGAGTGCTGTCAGTTGACAGTTCGGGTGGTGGTTAGGACTACTGATGATTATGAGGGAAAGTTGCACGAAGACTGACGTTCGGCTATGCCTGCCAGCAAGCCTCCGGGCCTTTGTTGTCGGGCGTTGGACGCGATAGAATTGCTACTAGCTGCATATGCGTGGTACGTGGTTTGGACGTTATTGAAGCAATCGTCACTGACATGAACGCAACGTACTGTTAGCTTCCCTCCTGATGCCGCTCCCACTTCCATCTGGAAATCCAGCGTTGGGAAATGAGGAGTTCGTTGCGGTCGATCCCCTTGAGCTCTGTGGCGTCATATTCATAGATCAGTGTCGGTGGTTGAGAATGAGAGATGGGCGCTGCTCAGTCGTGGTGAGTTTGCGCCTGATATGGGCCCTATCAGGACCTTCATGGTTGTAGGTCTCACGACCCGCAAACTTTGTCCTACCTGCTGTTTGAATACATTATCTTTGAGCCCTCGGATCTGTTCGGTGGCATCACAACCCCTTTGCGATTGTCTCGCTGGATAGAACAAACACGTTTAGGTATAGTTACGAGGCGCGTACTGATCATAACGACCCAAGTGAATATCTATGCTCTTTCACCGATGTGTCTTTGAGATCTCTTTATGTTCTTCAGAATACCCCACATGCAGACCTTTCCGTCCGACGTAGACTCGAACTCGCTATTGTGGTCACGTGAAGGGGATGAGATGGTCTGTTAGGTTGTGGACACGCAGAACTGTACGGAGACGAAGACAATCATCTATTGTGAGAGCCATCCACGGTGCTGGGGTCCACGTTGGCACGATATCTGCTACATTCTCTCGCGAATGCCTTGTGATTTCTTATGAGGGTGGTTCGGTTCATAACGAGAGTTCTTCCACGATGGCAGTTATGCAAGCAAAGCAATGCCCGCGCCGTCCATATGACATGTACTATACGATACCCCTCATGGACAGGAGTAGTGCCGTGAGCACTCATTCAACACTGCTTGTCGAACTAAGCTTCTCACAACTCCTGATCCAATTCCTGATCAGTACCACTCCTGCTCAAGCTCGACGTCTTGAAATCCCATTTACGACCTTCCATCTCTGTGGAAACTCCAATCTGAATGGTGTTCAATGCTCTGTCTTCAACCTATGAACGGGCGTCACAATGCGCCGCAAGTAAGGTCATCGTACACGTCCGCAGCTCCGAATTGTAAACAGTCTCTCACCTGGGGGACATTCCAAGTCTCAGCTACTGCACGACGGTGCGCAAGGTGGAAGATATTAGGGCCTGATACGTCGTCTACAACGACTATCCCTCGATTGAACTGTCGTGAGTTGAGTCTAGACAATCAAAGTGCTCAACTCCAGTAACGCCAGTCAGGTCGTGGAGCGAAACCTACGCCGACAGCAAAGAAATCGCGTAGACTAGTCGGGAAAGATAAATGAGGTCATTTGTCTCTGTAATCGCGTGCACTGAACACTTACAGCGCATAGCCAACGTGCTGAATATGAGGTTCAGGGAACGGGATATAGCAGCGGCGGACGTTCCCAGAGCCTAGACATCCGTCAGGAAGCCCCGGAAAGGAGACGTGTACCAAAAGAGGTCACTCACGATGCAGAACGCCACTGCGTTGCATATGCTGTTATAATGGGAGTTAACGGCAGATTTCAAGGAGGAGAAGAACAGCTGTACCAGTGCAATACTCCTAAAGAGAAGCTCAGCCGTATATCAGGTCGACTCTAGAGAAGCTCACCAGTGTTCACGACGTACATAGTTAAGAGGTCTGCAATAGACTCGGTTCTGGCACGACATCTGAGCCCAAAAGTAATCAAAGGAAATGTTTGCTTACCGATCGATTCCAGCTCGACTGCGATATAGGACTGTGATAAGGGCTCCTGAGAAGAGGAGATCCGCCAAGAGTGGTAGTCCAAGCGTAGCGATAATGAGCTTCTGCGTGGGTCACACGGGTCATTGAGAACTTCGTTTCACGTGAGATGAATCTCAGGACATTTACTCGCAAGGCGCTCAAGTCCTGGGCCTCTGTCGCTACCAGAAAGCTGCCAAGACGCATTTCAGCGATGCTATGCTCAACGTCCTGGATAAACTCACCTCAAATGCGTCGCGCCTAACAAGTACGATTGAACACGCCCCACTATGTGTATGACTCGAATGACTCACCAATAGACAGGACTGAAATCGTCATGTCAACGATATAATACCACTGGCATGTCTGATGATCGCAGTACGCACCGATTTCTCCTACAATTGCCAGCATCTTACCTAAAGCTTGAGAACCGAGCAGAGTCGGACATTCGGCACATACTCACTGCGATTGCCACAATAATCCTATAAATTGTTCCTACTGAGGTCATGTGAGGAAATGGCGAGATATGTTGTAAAGACGTTGTTCTCGAACACATACAGAGAAAAACCCGACGGGCAAAGAAACTGAATGGAGAAGCTCAGAGGATTCCCACAACGGTAAAGGGACTAGACACTCACATTTGCGAGACCAGAATAATAGCGCTCTTGGGGGCATTTCAGGCATTCTACTCCCTGCCTAAAATTCATGAGCCTCACCGAAACGGCCGCAATTGACTGCGGAGTAGCGGTGAGCCGGTAATAGCATGGGAGACCGATAGCAGAAGACGCACTCACATCCAAGGACCTAATGATTCATGATGAGCATATTGCTACGAACCTACTATGATGCAGCGCTTACCAAACACCCTTCACTGGAGAGAAGAAATGGGTCACCATCAGGTAGTAGCTTCTTCCGGGTGAGAAACGCTGTCAATCTCATACAATATCGCATTGCTTACCAAGAATGCATCCCGAAGACGGCATGAACCGTCTCCAAGACCCTTGACACACGACGATGAGCTGATCTGAGTTAACTGTGTATGAACCATCAGTTCTTACATGACAAGTACGACCTTGTCTACAGAGTAAGATAGTATGACGCGTATGAGAAGGCTAGAATCTCACCAATGTGCGGACGAATACTGCATCCGTAGGAAACGAACGGAAGTATCTGTAGGTCTGGTGGACACCGAGTCCATACAATCTAGTATACCGCAGCCATTAGCGCTACACGAACGGCGGGATCAACAAAGGAGACTGACATTAGTCCAAAGAAAGTCTGGAGCAAGTCAACTCCCAGCGCCCTCGTATCAATTTGTGGTGTTGTCGGGGTAATAGAGTCAGGAGTCGGAACTAGAACTGACGTGATTGTAGAGACGCTGGTCATCTCGGAGAAGAGGGGATCAGAAAGTACCGTATGACTTGTGGAGGGTATATAAAGTCAATCCGTGGTAGACACCAGCACCGCGTGATCTATATCAGGAAAATTTGTCGCCATTACGGAGGCTATAACGGAGACTGACCGACTACGTGCCTTCGGGGCGATGCCTGCGCAGCCGTCCAGTGGGAACTGGCCGCATCAGTGAAGCTAAGCAACGGTACCGTGTGACTATTCTCCATGAAAAGGTGATGGGAGCAGACTTTCCCATGAGGCCTCTTGCTGCAGTATACACGGCTCGGCCCCGGATGCGATTGTGGGTGACCGGTGAGATCTTGAGACCTCTCAAAGGTTTCGGCAAACTCGATGACGCGAGCAGGTATCAAAGTGCTCGTGCCACCTCTCTCAGGCTTGACTCCGCCGTCGGTGAAAGGTACACCTTATTTGTTCCATCAACAGCACCTTCCCACACCTGGCAATCATGCGCTTGTAGGGAGCACCTGGCAACATAATGCATTCCATTCTATTCAGGATCTAAAGCACGTGGAGAGCGATAGAGCGCGGTGAGGCCACCTTAAGCGGCCGCAATTGACTATGCGAGCCCACGGTGAGACCGAAACTCTCATTTCCGAGAAAATAAAGAGCTGATCATCACAGAACTGGAAGACTGACCTCAACAGAGTTCTTCCCTTGGGATACATCATGCACGCAGAAGCAAGGGAAGCAGATGAAATGTCATCTCTATAGCTTCATGTGATGCCATCGTTCCTAGATCTTTGTGAAGCATGGCTCAGCATGGCTCTGCAAACACCCAACAGATCAGAGACGACTCACTTGATATGCTCCTGTCAAAGCATCGACCTGCCCTCCTTCTCCGCCCCTTGTATGGATGCCGTTGTCGCCACCTGGAAGTCTAACTTCCTTCCCTCTGTTTCCGTCGCTATCCCAATTTGGATGCTCCCGGGGGCGCTCTCCGGTACCTATAACAGGGGGGGATCGCAGCACGCGCAACAAGGTCACTTCCCATCCCTTGATATCGCCGGTCTCTCCCAGTGACCCACCTGGGGAATGTTCCACGTCTGGGCGATTGCTCGGCGGTTCGCGCGCTCTATGGCACTGGGGCCGGATGTGTTGTCGAAAATAATGAGGCCTTTGTCGGTGTCACGGGAATTGAGTCTGAAATGGAACGATGGGCATGACAGGAATTTGGTCAATGAGCGCTTGTGGCCTGAGACTTACACAGGCATGGTGTTTGCATACACTGCACAAGAGAGATCACTGACCCGATGAGCAAACGAAATGACGATAACACCCAAACACTCACGGCGCGTGGCGATGATGCTGAAGAGCAAGTACACCGACGAAGTCGTAGGGGAAGCCGACACTGTCCGTAAACGAGGTGGATTTGATGATGTCTGACTTAGTACGCATAGTACGCATTCGGACCCGCTTACCAATATGAATGAAATGGCATTGGAAATGCTGCCGTACGTGCTTGAGCCAGTGGTCATACGTTAGGACTCGAGAATACACCTACCAGTGAAGTACACCTAGTAGATACTGATAATAAGCCCCTGTCCCGGATAGCCGTTTTTTTTTAGTTCACAAGGCTTACCCGTGTTCACGACATAGATCACCACGAAGTCAGATCTTGACTTGGCTCTGTACAGGATCAGACACTGAACACGGTACGGTTTTGACAAACTCCTCACTGTTTCGAGGTAGAACGACTCAGTCTCAGCACGGAGGTGAGTGCAATGGCAAGGAGAAGATCCACCAGGAAGGGCATCGCGACAGTCGCCGAGATGAATGCCTATCAGTTCGAGAGATCAATTCAGGCTCCGAACACGGTCCAGCCGATAATAACATACCCTCAAAATTCGAGGAAGATTCCGGAGGTTATTCAGGGACGGTGTTCCGATGCTTTGAGGTGCTGATTAGTGTCAGAGAAACAGACAGACCACAATTCGGATTACGTGAAGTATGTCGTAACTGGTACGAGTCAGCAAATATCACTTGAGACGTTCATTTATGAGTGCAGTCATATCTATCGAAAATCGTAGGTTTGTCACATCCAATGTCAAGTATCGTTGTATAAGGCCATAAGAGTTCGCACAAACCAAATTCTGCGATCATGAAGAACACCTATCATGGCCGCTCAGAGTCAAGATCGCGATGACCTCGCATCGTGGCTCACCGCAATGAGACGATAGCGGGAGCCAACTGAGTACAGCCATTAGGGAGAATGCAGCTGATAACAGACTGGCACTCACGCAAGGCGATGCGTCAAGCGAAAAAGCTTGATTATGTATATGAGCAGCGCCATCTGACCGGATAATGAGCAGGGACCCACATCTGTCTGAAGACCAGAAGTCGTAAAATTCTTACTGTAATCAAAGGCAGTATGTGAGTGCAATTTGGAGGTATGGCATCAACGTGATATATTTTTCATGCCAACGGGCACTCACCTCCAATGACCTGGGATCACGACATGAGCAGGCTATAACATACACGGTCTTGTACCACGTGTCTCACCAAACGTTAGGCTCGAATTGAGGCGCAAAGTAGTCTGTCACGAGTATGTGATAGCTGATTCCAACGTTTTACTTCTGATATCAGGCCGAGCCATAATTCTCACCAGAAATACATGGTCAAAATCGCGTGAAGCGTTTGCAGCGCCCTGGTCATTGCTCGAGACCATCATGCCGAGGATGTTTTGTGATCGCTTACATGACCAGAAGGACCTAAGTTGCAGAGGGGTCATCCGGTGGCGTAACCAGAGATGGATTCACTGAACATACCAAAATGCGGATAAGTAGCGCGTCTACGGCAAAGAGACGATAGTACTTGTACAGCTAGTGTACACTCAAACCATATAATCTAGACGTAAGATGCTCACGTCAATAGCTCAGCATGAGACTCTGGTCATACATCAGCCCGAAGAAAGTTCCTAAGAGATCCGCCCCAATCGTTGATCCTTAGAGAAGGGAAATCTTATCGGGGCCTTGTTTGCTGAGTTCGAAGCGTCCATGATGGACAAGCAGGGAAAAGAAGGGAGATGCTGGGTATACGCACGCGGGGCACGATCGGTCTCGTGTATATATGCCCATCCGGCGACCATCTGTGACATCGCAGTGACGGTCAACCATGCTTCAGCCCAAAAGTGGCTCCGAGAACAGCGATTTGACAGGCAGCAACACCGGGGGGTGCCATTTATACCGTCCGATCGGGCTATGCGTGCGAAGGTATCAGCCGTGGAAGTGTTGTGCTGTCTTTGCAGGCTGCATTGAATAACAACATCATGCTTCCTACAACCGTCTGTCAGTTAATGGCTAGGCTGCAGTCGGAGTGAGGGATTGGAACCCTGCCACAGATCAACACTGGTTGCGACATACTGGCATTTACACCGACATCGTCATGAGGAACTGGCACATGGGTCAAGCACACCCGAAGGAGTGGGCGCCTGGTGTAGTGAGCATCCCCTGGATACATACACTGCACATTGTCGACAGAGGAGGTGTAGTATATGACGATTAAAAACTCACGACGTACTGTCCACTGCAGGGTCAACGCCATTATGCCCGTCGCCGTCGCTTGCCGGCTTGCCGATTCAGTGCAAAAGTGCCATTCCTTGTGTGATCCGGATGTTTCCTTCTGAATACCAGGTATACTGCTACCGGGCGGCAGCTTGAGGCTCGTCCCCGACTTCAAGTTCAGCATAGAATGTAATGTCGATAGTTACTGAAATGACGAACACGGCCCGGAGCGTTGAGGAGCAGCCGCATGGGGTAATAGTTCACCTGTTGTTAGCTTTGTCGGTGAATGAAGTACGAAGACGGTGACGCGGGGAACTAGCTCTCACTTGAACACGTCAGCACTACAAGTCGCTGCATATTGATGAGACCGATAGACGCTGAAGAGCACAGGCCGTCGATGGCGAAGGTTCCCTTTCAGGCAAATCCCGACGTTTCCCTCCGAGTCCAGGTACTATATGATGAGCGTACATTGGGGATGTTTGGAATTTTTTGCGACGTCGTGTGCATTGTCGTGAGTTAATGTTCAGCCGTTGAGTATGGGTAGATGGAGAGTATAGCAATTACCTTCTGAGAGAGGTAATCGGAATCGGCATTTACCGGGCCGTACCATCGAGTCGGCTAGAAGGCTTCACACGGCTCCAGGAAATGGGAGGATGCCCTTGGAACTGTTACAACCGACATCATGGCCGACCACAGTGATGAAGTTCGCAAGCTCAAGATAAAGCTACAACTCTATGAGGCCGAATTCGCAGCCCAGGCAGCTGAGATTCAAAAACTGCGACAGGACAACGTCGGGCTCAAGGCGAAGGTCGCTTACATGGAGCAGAAGCGTGAGCAGCAGCACATCTCGTTGGCAGAGGGATCGGTATCGATGAATGGGGAGAACCGTGCTCCTGCAGCACAGTTCGTCTCCCTTGCAGCAGTGCCTAGTAACGTACAGCTGTTTGATTCCCTCTGTCTGCTGGTGCTTACTTTCTAGATAACGACTCTCGCAGGCAGCTCGCAAGCCTGCCGAACCCAAGATGAGCACGCCTCCTCTATCTGCTGCCGGAAGTGCAAACCAGCCTCTTTTCATCCCCCACAGCGACGAGAGCTTAGAAGTAATGAGAATCAGTTCCCAAAGCGTGCAGCCGAGAACAACGGTATGTTTCTGAGAGGTGACCACGATAAGCAAAGCCTGTTGACACCTTCCACAGGGCCTCTCCAAAAGGCGAGAAACATCACCTCAGCCAGAAAGCATGCCATACTTCTTTTCCTCGTCTAGAGAAGCCAAGGGAAAACAGCCCGCGGTCAAGAGACGGAAACTCGAGAAATTCGACTTCGTTGCTGTTCCTCCCAGACGTAGATCTTCGATCACGATGACTCCATCGGCTCAAATTTCGGAAAAGAAGCATGCCCCTTCGTCGCCCGTGCAATCGGGGCTTGAAGATCTATCGGGATTCTCCTCCGACTCGTCATTGACTAGTCTTTCTTCTAACGGTGACTCTCCTTCAAGCTCCCGTCCCCGCCCTGCTCCTCGCCTTCGAACGCAAGTCACGTACACGACCAGAAGGAATAGACCGTCTCTGATCCCGCCTGCAAACGTCCCTCCTTCGTGGGAGCCTTCCTTCGATCTGCCCTTTCCACCGGTCGAGGTGGACGATGGGAGAGACCCGTCCTATGTACCATCGAGGCGGACATTTTCTGGCCCGACTGCGTCCCCAAAACGCCCTTCACGGAGGCAAAATGCCCCTCGCGAGGAAAAGTCGAATCTGAAACAACCGACACCATCGAAACCACTGAGCCCAGTGCGCCCAGTCACGATCAGCGATAAGGTGAGGATCCTTCACACGTAGCTTTTGTTGCTGCAAACTGAAGAGGATGTCTTGGAACCACCTCGTGGGCAGCCGCCTGCAAGTCGCTCTCACCCAGACCCAGGTACACAACAGCGTCCGCCGGAGCCCCTTCCCCTGCGACGCGTAAGCCTACTTCTATCTCCCCCATCTCCCGTCGCGGCATCCAACGATCGCTTGGCCGGTCTGACGCGCTTCCTCGTCCACATTGCCGACCCAACCCTTCTTCAACCGACTGTCAACCGTCACCGCCTGGCCGAGTTATACGGCGGGAACGCGACGCGGATGTGTGTCACGACGAGCGGGCGCAACTTCCTCTTCCCGACGCTCAAGTAGAATCCGCGGCTCCCCTCGAATGTCGGCATGCAGGGATTGCTGCTGCGCGCGAACGAGGAGATCGAGTGGATGGGCGACGTCCAGACGGTGTTCGTCGGGCTGAAGGGCTCGCATTACAAGTACATGGGGGAGTATAGACTGACACTCGGGGAGCGACTGTCGGCTGAAGAGTATAGGGCTCTCTTGCCCTCGGTAAGTGTCATCCCCAACCTCGATTCATTTGCTGGGGACCGACAGCTATCGCACAGCTGCGAAGCAAATGGGCCAATGGCATCGCCTCTAAGTCAAAATACAAGGACATCCGCGTCCGCATTTGGACACGGCGCACTCATGACGGTGAGGCGACAGCGGAGGAGGTCGCTGTCACACTCGCAGATAAAGATGAGAAATGCGAAGTCGCCGTAGAGGACATGATGAGTGCGTACGAGAGTGGGCAAGAAGTGAGTCGCTATACCCCTGTTTATAGGCTATGCGCTGAGGTCTCATCGCTGTTCAAGCGAATGCTTGTATGGCGTATGCAATGTGTCGCGTTCGACGAGGCATTCCTAGCCGATCTCGTTAGTAGGTTGTGACTCGAGCTGGGTCGAGAGGATCTGTCGTTTATCGTTGTAAGATGTGTATCAGTCTTGTAGAGACTACAACGAGGGTTATAACCCAAAGGGCAAATAGCCCTTGTGGGGATCAACCCTCCCTTACCCCTCACACCGGTGTCGGTTTTCATTTCGGCCCGGGTAAAAGGGTGGGTTGATCCCAACAAGGGCTATTTGCCCTTTGGGTTATAACCCTCGTTGTAGGTCCCTCCAGTCTTATCGATTTTTGTCTATCTCTTATTTGATATACCCACTGTTGTACAATAGGACGTTATGGAGATTTGCTCATCCTTGTATCATCTCTTCTTGACGTCAACCAAGAGCTATCACATACAAAGGTACTGGAGGGCGACAAAGCTGACAAAGGTATGCCAATGATTCAGATCAGAGTCGCATCTGGGTGCCAGTACTCCGCAGTCGACAGGTCCTAAGTTCAATCAAAGGGAAGTTGGTGAGCAGTTATTCAGTGTGAAGAAGTTCACATACGGCGACGAGGTCTTCGTCAAGGTACCACCAAGGCTTCGGTCTGGTGCCCCAAAGACTTCATCTCCGTTTCCAGCGTCACCATTGATTCGTCAAATTCATCCACGTGTCCCGCGAAGCTCCGACGCCTCGTCGACAGTACGGTTCGACCGTTCCAAGAACATGCCGTTTCATTCGTTCGCGAAAGGCCTCTGTCTATCAGGAATTGGCGTGTTTTTCCCCATCCGTAGACCAAGACAGGGAATCGCTCTCACTCTTCTGCCATCTTGTCCGACGTAAGAATTCATTTCCTGCGGATGTTCTTCATAAGACCGGGTTTCTCAAATAAGCGATCCCATTTCTGTGAATTGATCGTGAATAACTCCTGGCTGAGGCATGAGAGGAAGGAAGTATACATACGGCGTCTCTGACTGTCTTTATTCGTTCAGTATATTGCCAGTCGGATGAATTGTCCGGCACTTGCTCTCTCTCTTCTAGATACCGGTCATCCGGGCGGCGTGGTCCCCCAACACGATGATGTCAATGGAGCAGCCGACCATAGGGCATTGTTCGACGCCGCTGGAGAAATGCGACAGGGCTTGAAGTCGGAAAACGTTGCAGTAGCGAAGGACACGACTATCGAGAAATGCAGAAAGAGATCCGACCGCGCGGGAAACAAAACTAATAACCGTGTGATCCTGCGGTCTAAGCGGTGGCCTCCTCAGTGCATTCGGCAATGATCTCAACCTAATTATCCATATCTCGTCGGCCTCGACTTAATCAGCGTACGGTGGGCAGGTGTTGAAATGTTATATATGATCATTCGTAAAGCAGGATATAATGGAGTAGTAACCGCGTATCCGGATCACTAGATGCAGGCTCACACTCGGCATTACCGGGACGCAAGGCTGACCTTGAGGGTCATCTCCGGCCTGGACGATTCGTGACTGGTAGTCGGGTACGCGATGCCCGCGAAGTTCCAGATGATCGGTTTTTGCGAAAGCTCGAACTTGAAGTTGGACACGAGCGTGGACAGGACGATCTCTGCAAGAACACAATGGTCAGGAAACCGTACAACTTTGTCGAACGCGAAGACTCACTCATTTCCAGCTGAGAGAACTTGAAGCCGCTGTGAACGATGATGCAAAGTGATGTCAGAGCAGTAGGAGACGGGATATGAACTCGAACGCACATGCAAGAGTGGCCACCGCTGATGAAGGTTACCCTCCCAAACGCCTGAAGTCAGCGTGCAGCTCCACGGTGCGCACGACATCCTCCATGTCACGCACAGATTAGCGTAGATGCCCGGAATACGAGCATCTTCCACGGCCTTGGGCAGAGGCTTGAGCCACCTCTCCGGCTTCCACTCCTGGGCGTCCTCGCCCCACAGTTCCTTCCAGGTGTTGCATGCACGCAGGTTGAGGAAGAACATAGTTCCTTTAGGAATGGGTATCTCGGTCAAGACAGTACCGTCAGTACAGCGTAATGTCGGCCTTTGCCCTAAGTAAATGCTGAGATATGACTACGGTAGTGTTGCGAACGGAAGAAGAGATGCGTACTGTCGATTGGAGAGATTCACCGGGGCCCACCTGCGTGTAGAACCCGAGTCAGGAAGGTGACAGAATACTTAGAGAAAGGCACGATGCACACAGGCGGAGTGTCTCGCGACACACAGCGTCGAGGTACGGCAAAGCGCCCAATTCCTCGTAAGGGATGTCCCTGCCGGAATGCTCTTGTGCAGCATGGAGCTCAATACGAAGTTGATCTTGAATATCCTGGTTTTGAGAAAGCAGGTGCAAGATTCTGGATAGGGCGTTCGACGTGGTATCGACACCGGCTACAATGAACGTCCTGCATTTCAAGGCTATATCGTCACGAAAGCCCCTGCTGCGAAGCGGCCCTAATACTCACCCCATTTGTGCGAGAACTTCCTCGTCAGGAAGTCTGTCCTCAATGGATGCCTTCATGTTTTCTCTAACTGTGACAAGGATTATCAGTGGAAACAGAGCAAGATTCGGTATAATATGTCACCCACGCAGAACGCTCATGACGTCCTTCCCTTCCCCGACCGCGTTCAGCAAATCAGTATCGCCCTTCTCAATTGCAATCTTCTTCACATGGTATATCTCCTCCGACCGCCGTTGTATGGTGTCTACGATCTGCTTCAAACGCTGGACTCCCTTGATCGGGACGAGGTCGAGGAGGAAGCGAGGGAACCAGGCTGGGCCAAAATAGGAGAGAAATGGAGTGAAAAATCGAATCCATGGATAGTCGGTGAAGGCGGGGCTATAGGAAGCGTGTATATGTTGAGCGAGGCATAGTGCGTGTAGGGAATGTACTGAACACGTACACAAACGCCTTGACTGCCTCTGCGAACTCGTCGCGGGACTCAGCAATCAGCGGATCGAAGGAGTAACCCAGACCTCCTTGCCCAACAAGCTCGAGTGCTGTGCGACCCATCCACCGGAGGACGTCGAGTTCCCGCGGGCCCTCCTTCACGCGAGTCTCGATGGCCACTCGAAGCTACACATGCGATGTCGTCAACGGCCCGAGGCTTGCCGTTGACAAGCGTCTCACCTTCCCAACAACGTCCTAGAAAAGGGGTGTCAAGTTGCGCATATGTGCCCCGGAAAAGGCAGGGTTGAGCATCTTGCGCTGCTTCTTGTGTTGGGCACCATACATCCCGAGTAGTCCCGGTCCAATAGAGAGGCGAACACTACTTTTGTAGAGCGGAATATCAGCGAAGCTCTGACCTGCGACAGCGGACTGAGCATACGTGATCGCCTCTTCGCCCTGATAGTAGTTGCCTTGGTCCTTCATAAAAATGCTATGCAGTGCCTTCGGACCGTACACGTGAAGCCACTTCGCCTATTCGACGCACGTCAACAGCGGGCGATAACAAATGCCCAGGAAGTCTACTTGCCCCGAAGAAGCTATGAATCTTGGCCACAGGACCGTAGGTGAGGATGAGGTGATCGTGGAAATCCCAGCTAATATGTTCGAACATCTGGTACATATTTCCTGGCAAAGCCGTCCGAAAACATCAACACCGGTAGTCGAACGTGAGCGGACATCGCACGAACCTCCGAGGAATGACCCAGAAGGAGGGCCTGAAATCACGTCCAATAGGGATTTCACGAAGTAGTTTCGTACCAAACGCCATAAGAAGTGCAGGATGATCGCCGACGCGACAAGCACCGGGAGTTGTGCCGTCTGGGAGAGATGAAAATGTGACGAATCAGAGGAGTCGAAGAGGAGACTATGAACCGCATGAAGAAGCATACCGGCTTATATTTACCACGACAGACATGGAGCGACCGACTGCTGATAGAACACCTTTACGTGAACTGACGGTTCCGACGTCCCTCAGACCTCAGTAGTAAAGTCCCACGGGCATCTAATCCCGTGACGCGTACGCCAAGGAATGTGAGAATAGATTAGCGGACGATGGTTCTCAGGGACGCTGCGCGATGTCGCTGTAAGAACCTCACTTTGATTTCGTTCTGAGAGCTCGGCATGAACAATGCCAACCCACGATCCGAATCGTGACTGGAATTGTCTTGCCTACCGTGAGTCAACGTGCTGTCGGTGCCGACTTTCAGCAGCGATGTATGCGTTCCGAATCTGAGTCACAGGAGAACATGTCGTAGAACGCCGCTTGAGAGCGCTGAACAGGGAGCGTTGGACGGAGACCCAAACGTCGATTCGCTGAATGACCCACGTGTTGTGTGGAGTCGTGTCATCAGCAGACATGCCGCATGCTGGTAGAGTCAGTGGTGTTGGCTAACGGCTGGCCGCCTGAGTATCGGTGCCTTTACTTATGTAGGCAGCCATCCTCGCGGTTCCTCGAGTGTTGATTGCCAGCGGACTGGGCCCGGCGGGCCGACGCTCACCGACCGGCACCTACATCGCTGCAGCCTGCTATCCTCATATGTACACCTTCGAGCCACTGAAGATTTGTCCAACCTGTCATTGTCACAGCTCAAGATGTTCCTGGGGATATATGAGTCCGACCTACGGAGCGGGGAGGTCGAACTCCGATAACATACCCTGGTGCGACCAGAGCGTCAAGTTGAGTCACTCGGGAGTCGGAAGCCAACGTGCTTGACGATGCGAACGGCGGTGCCATATTGACTCAGCAGAGACGAAGACATCTTGACCCGACCCGAATCGACGCCCGATGTGGACAGATGACATGCCACCTCGGAATCTCTTGCTGTCTCTAGCATGACTTGAACGCTGCACTGCGATACGACGAGTTGGTGCTGGCAATCAGCCCAAGGACCTTCTTTCTCTGCTCTTCTGTGCGACGACGTATTCCGCCATACGACGGGCACGCATGTCGCCGTCCTTTCGTCTAGACATAACGATCGCAGCTCATCCGCCTGAAGAATACTCGTTAGCTCCGTGCATTCGCGTCTAGAGTGCAGAGAACCCCCACGCCGTCCAGGGAGCCGCCATCTGCTTCCACCGACACATCATCCAGTCCCTTTTTCCGAGGCAAACTTGGGTTTAGCGAGAGCGCTCATGAGGTTCGGTTTGTGAAGATGGAGGACGCAGGGGCTCCGAGCTGGGTGAACAAGGCTTCCGGGCATGTTCGAGAACGATCCTTCGGGCGCCTGATTTCGGGCACCCGTGTCGACACAGCGAGTAGACGCCGAATTGCATACAACGGACCTCCTTCATCCATCTCGATGCCGGTTGCCCTCCCCGCCGCAGTGTGTAGATCGTGGAAAAATGCGCGATAAGATCTTATTGACTCGTCTAGATTCTCTCAATATCAAGTAGCGAAAGACGTCGATTAGCAGACAGGTGTTTGCTAGCCACGCAATAATGGACTTCACTAGCCACCTGGCACCTTCCCTTCACTGTCAACCACCTTCACTCTCAACCACTCAATTCAAGATTGGAGTCCTGGCACACAGAGGGTGGGCGGTCTGTACCAGTCCGCGAATGACCTGTTGCTCGCTCCTAAGCGGACCCGAGCTCGAAGGTGTCAATGTTTTCCGCCGATCGTCGCTAGCTCCTGCCTCCCCTGGCCTATAAAACCCTCGTCCTTGCCCCGTCTCTCTTTCCTCAGAATCCCCAATTTTTCTTCCTTCTCCCTACGCTCTAGGTGCGCCGGCGACTCGCATCAATTTACTGTGATGCTGGGTCACTGGTCGTACGCTCCGCTGCGAGGGATAGATGTTGAAGTGGGATGATTCTCGATCACATCCTGACCGCTTCTCTGGAGGTGATGGCATATGGCATGACACAGGCACCCCTTCACGACGCGGTACGTTAGATGATATTCTTTTCATCTCCTGCCATATTGAAACTACGCTCTCAGTCAACGTCGGCGGTGCCCACTTGCAGCATTCCTTGGGGCATCCTTCCTCATATCATGCATTGTCAGCTATCTAACAATCGTGGCACAGACTGCTGCTTCAATTCTTGTGGACCACTTGTGTGCCCCAAAATTCTTCAAGATGGCTGACTGGCCACCTCGTACGCTCTTCCCATCTCCCCTTATTCATACCATGCTGGCTTCGTCGCAATCACAGTACGCTACATGCATTAAGGTGTCAGCCGCCCGTCGGTACTAAGTCCACCTAGTGGCGGTCGACGTTCGCGCTGCGTTTCATTTGGGCTGGTTTTCGCCGCCGCTGCCACACCGTGCAGCGGTAGAAAACGGCGGGCGAGCCACCTTCTTTCCGGTAAAGTTGCACGTCGGGGACGGGCAACTTGGACTGATCGGAGTGGACGTATCGCATTGTAAGGCTGACCCTCCAATTGGTTAGTCTTGGTAGTGTAATGCTTGATTTGCGCAGGGGCTGACGTGGTGTCATGCACAGCCTTAATCATTATCTGCCAGGACTCTTTGCCGCCATCGTGAAGTCAGGTGCGTGCCCTGGATTTTCCTTTGCACTCACGTCTACATATTTCAGTCGTGGGGGCACAAGTATGCGATGACGTCTTGTCTCGCGATCATTATTGAACGGCAGATATGCTTTCGATTATTTTAGCGGCGTTGGCTTGGGCACATACTCCATGCATAGTCGTGCGATGTCAATTTAGTAGACAGATCAAGATATGATCCATTTGCGTCAACATTACCGTCTAACATTGAACGTAGAGCCCATCAAATGTCCTTCTACAGCGATATCGAAGCAAATCACTGAGCTCGATTCAGTGGCTTGAGGGACAGTGTCTCGCCCATCTGGCCGAGGGCTTTCTGTTGAAATCCTGGACTTTCCGAGCTTCCTTTGAACGGTCTTGCCAACAGTGGTCCCCGGCCTTCTTCACAGTCGTAAGAATCTATTCGCAAATCATTTTCAAGGTGAGCTCATAACCTCTAGAGCGACCACACAGCGCTTTAGACTCATGACAAAGTAGGCCTGCTCCGGGTAGAACCGGAGGAGTGCAAGTATCGTCTTCTACTGACGACTGAAATGATTAAGAATTACATAGAAAGGTAATTCAGTAGCAGACTTTGTCATGCAACGTTTCGCTATCTGAACAACACTGGGATAGTATGTCCTGTGTCGTAAAGTTTCGACTAAGGAATAGAAACCCCGCGGTCCTCGCACATACATGAATCATATGACGCTCGAGAAGAGGTCGTCATTTCCTAGTAGACACGAACTCCAGGGAGGGAGCGGCGCCATGGGACTGTCCCACAATGACAAGCCGGAGGAGAAGCCGGTTGGGGCCTCAAGTTCAACTCGAGCATGGACTACCTCTATGGGGATGCTCCGGCCCCGTCCTCCTCTAAACGTGACGACGGAGAAACATTACGCCTCCTGGGACGCGGCGACGTTGGCAACCCTAGTTGCGATCACTTGCTCTGTGGCCATCAATCCTCTCGATGAAGACTCGTTGCTCATCACTGGCACACCTTGGCATTTGTCACTCCTGACCGATTCCTGAATGAAGAACTTATCCCGCTCGCTAGTAACACCCTTGACTCCTTGCGGCCACGGGAGAAGGCGATGTGCTGTCACCAGAAGCGATCGGCGTGGCAAAGTTAGCTTGCATTCTCACCACCGCACGGGGTGCGATTGACGGGGGCCACCCGACGGTCCCACGAGGACGGAGATGAGGTCAGCACTGTATAAAGCCCTTGAACATCATACAGACGACCGTCGACGTTCGGTTCTTTTTGTCGGAGGCTTTACATGTGGGAGACAGATTCGATGACGAATGACTGCTTCGCGCGATGGGGACGGAAGATGCTGACAAGGAAGCTGCTCGGGCTACACGTTCTTGAAATCGAGATTATGAAACCAAATGGAATAGCAGAACCCTTCTTCATTGAGGGACGAACGCAGGCAATGGTCTCTGTACGATACTGCTGACTTAATGAACACGACGCAAGCTCCTCATGATATGACAAAGCCGTCAACTGTACGCTCCTACCGTGAGACCAGCAACTCATAAGATCGTAGGAGAGAAGGGATGGGTAGTGATCACTTGAAAAGCGGTATAGAACAAGAAAACATGCGTGTCCGGATCACCAGATGCAGGCTTACACTTGGCACTACCGGGACACAAGGCTGACCTTCAGAGTCATCTCCGGCCTGGACGACTCGTGATCGGTCGTCGGGTATGCGATGCCTGCGTAGTTCCAGACGATCGGCTTCTCGGAGATCTCGAAGTTGAAGCTAGACACCAGCGTGGAAAGGACGACCTCTGAAAGAACACCAAATCAGGAAGCCACAGGCCACACCTGGATGCGGGAACTTACTCATTTCCAGTTGCGAGAACTTGAAACCGCTATAGATGATAACAGGTTAGCTCGGCGCAACCGCGGAGGCAGAATGTACTGGAACGCACATGCAAGAGTGGCCACCGCTGATGAACGTGACCCTATCAAACCCGAAGTCAGCATCCAGCTACGTAGTTTGCGCAATATCCGCCATATCACGCACAGGTTGGCGTAGATGCCTGGAATATGTGCATCCTCCACGGCCTTAGGCAGAGGCTCAAGCCATCTCTCCGGCTTCCACTCCCTGGCGTCCTCACCCCACAGCTCCTTCCACGTGTTACATGCACGCAGGTTGCAGAGGAAAATTGTTCCTTTCGGTATCGGAATCTCAGTGATGACCGACCCATCGGCGCAACGCAAAGGTTGAGATAGCGGCAGGACAGTATCGGTCTTTGCTCTGGGTCACGGATTAGTTATGACTACCACCATGCGAAGGAAAGGAGGAGGGCGCGTACTGTCTGCTTACGAAATTCACTGGAGCCCACCTACGCGCAGAGCGGCGTCAGCGAACGGTCAATAGTGTATGAATAGAGGAAGACAACATACAGACGGAGCGTTTCGCGACACACGGCATCGAGGTATGGCAAAGCGCCGAGTTCGTCGTAAGGGATGTCCCCGCCATACTGCTCTTGAGCGGCGTGAAGCTCAGCGCGGAGCTTGGCTTGCACGTCCTGGTTCTGGGCAAGCAGGTGCAAGACGCGGGAGAGGGCGTTCGAAGTGGTATCAACACCAGCGAAAATGAACGTCCTACGAACCGGGAGTGTCAGCGCAACGGGCCGTGCCGGTGACTGTTCTGTGTACCCACCCCATCTGACCGAGAACTTCCTCCTCGGGAAGTCTGTCCTCGGCGGACGCCTTGATGTTTTCTCTCACTATAAGAAGGGCCGTGAGTATCTAGCCAATAGGACCAGATATATATAGAGGGAAAACCTCACGCAAAACGCTCATGACGTCCTTTCCTTCTCCGACTGAGTTCAGGAGATCAGCGTCACCCTTCTCAATCGAGGCTTTCTTCGCGTGGTATATCTCCTCCGATCGTTTGGACATGATGTCTACGACATTTCTCAAGCGCTGAACCTTCTTATTCGGGACGAGGTCAAGGAGGATACGACGGAACCAGGCTGGGCCGAGATATGAGAGATAGGGAGCGATTGCGCGAATCCACGACACGTCATTGATAGCGGGGCTATGAGATGGCACGTACATTTAAAGTCAGCCAAAGACGTTTAGGCGGAGAATGTATACGGTACGCACGCGAATGCCTTGACTGCCTCCGTGAGCTCATCGCGGGACTCTTCGATCAGAGGATCGAAGGAATAACCCAGACCTCCTTGTCCAACAAGCTCGAGCGCTGTACGTCCCATCCACCCAAGGACGTCGAGGTCTCGGGGACCGTCCTTCACGCGAGTCTCGATGGCTATTCGAAGCTATAGGGGCGAAATTCGTCAGCATACGCGAAGCTGAGTGCCGAGCCGTGGGGCAGCATCCGACCTTTTGGGTGACGTCGTAGAAAAGCGGTGTGAGGTTACGCATGTGAGCTCCGGAGAACACGGGGTTCAGCATCTTGCGCTGCTTCTTGTGCGCAGCGCCATACTTCGCGAGCAAGCCCGGGCCCAGCAGAAGATCGACAACGCTTCATGACGGAGAACGTTAGTGAACGTTCAATGTGATGGCAGCGGGCTGAACTTACTGGACCGCCTGCTCACCTCGATAATAGCTGTCTTGGTCCTTCAGAAAGATGCTATGCAGTGCCTTCGGATCGTACACGTGAAGCCAATTTGCCTGTTCGGCGCACGTCAACAATCGGGCGATAACGTATGCACAGAAAGTCGACTTACGTTAAAGAAGCCATGAATCTTGGCCACGGGCCCGTAAGTATAAATAAGGTGATCGTGGAAATCCCAACTGTTGTGTTCCAGCAACTGAGCCAGATTCCCTGGCAAAGCCATCCGAAAACATCAATATTGGTGGTTGACCGTAACGGACGTCGCACGTACCTCCGAAGATTGACCGAGAAGGAGGGCCCGGGATCACGTCCAATGGAGATTTCACGAAGTGGTTTCGTACCAAACGCCATACCAAGTGCAGGATAAAGGCCGATGCGACAAGCACCGCGATTGGTGCCATCTGGGAGAGCTAAAAACGTGGGCGCCAAGTCCAAAAGTGCAAGAGAAGTCCCAGGAGAGACCGAGCTACATAAAAAACATACCTGCCTATATATACCACCCCGGAGTTTGAGCAACGGTCCGCTGATGCAACACTTTTACGTGAGGCGACGATCCCATGCATAGTACGTCCGTCGGCAATAGAGCCTCGCGAGCTCCCAGCCCCGTGATGTGTGCGCGACACTCGGCGAAGGAAGGCGGGGAAGGATCGTGGGGCGATGGTTCTCACGGGACCTGCGCTGGCTGTCAAGAACATCAGGAAAAAATCAACCTTTCCGAACCGACTAGACTCGGTGCGTTCATTTATGTGGCCACCTGCTCGCCTGCTTGCAGCTTCGCATGTTGTCGCAGACGGGCTCAGAGGGCTGCAGGCAGTCTCCCAACGATTCAGAAAAGATCGATTTTTACTGTTGAGGAGCGACATCCCACGTCAATAACCGTAATCGGAGACTATTAAGCTCACCGCTTCCCGAGGTCGCATAAGAAGTACCGAGGCATTGATCATCAGGTGATCTAGATTTGTACGGGCAGGTCCGCCGTTGCTTCGCGCACAATCTCGCAGAACGTCACCTGAGAGCGTCGACAATTCGCCCCGGGTAGCGAGGGTAACGCCGGCTTGCTCCATGAGCAGCGTATGTCTGAGCACTGGCAGTCGTGTCGTCAGCAATAGGTAGTGATGGACCATGGTAGTCGCCCACACCCGTAACCGTTGGGCGCCTGGGTCTCAGCGACGGCTCGAGCGCTAGGTGACGACGGTGTTCACAGCTCTTGGCGGCCCCTGGCCGGTTACTACCAGTGACTGCGACTTGTCCTAGCACGTACCCTCGGATACCTCCCAGCCACTCGAATTCTCTTCAACCCTCTGATCCTTGCATAGAGTGGCGCAACGTGCTGATAGGGCTGTAACATATGCATATGGTTTTAGAGGCGTTAAACCCTGAAGCCGACTGCGCAGTACTTTTCCCGCGGGGTTCCCCCAGCCGACTCTGCAGCCTGTCAAGCTTGACTGCTTGGATTTTGCTTGGCGACCTCCACGATGGTGTCCTATTGCATCAGTACAGGACAATGTTAGCTCAACCGTCACACGTATGAAAGGGTCACCCTTCTGTATGGTGAGCAGAAAATCGATATAGCTGTGAAATCTTCTCCTAAAGTGCTTACGTACAGTACGGTAGTCTCTACTTACAGGTTGAGCAACACACAGATATACACTGACAGGAATGCATCGTGCCTTTCCTGCAACATCTATCATTGCAACCCGTTCACCGGACTGTCGGAGACATACGCGGCAGAGATAGACGATGAGATCGACAAAGAGACTGAAAGAGGAACAACAGCCGGAACCTCCCTCAAACGAGACGCACTCACGAGCCTCGATGTCCAACTGCCAACCATGTCCTGTGCATAAGTGTCTGCTGGTACTCAACAGTTTGGTTCATGTGGCCAACGTTGGAGAGCGTAGCACGGCAGGCACGGGCCAAATTCCTGTGCGAAGAAAGGCGAGAGAAACTTTGGGACAGTCTTAACTTTGCCCGGAAACATGACATCTATACCACATGACGCAACAATTTGACTTTCTCTACGCCTTTCTAAGAATTGAACCCGAGAGAAAACTACACCTTTCCCGCGCGCTCGCCCTGTCAGAGAAAATGTCCGGGAAAGGTCAGCTTTCACAGGCTGAGCGTCAGAAAACCTTTGTGAAAGCTGACCATTAAGCCCCTTTCTCCACTCTGGCGAGTGGCACTCCAAAGTTGTTCTGTTGTATGAGAAGAAATGTATTGTATCTTTCTGTGAAAGTCATTCTATACTTGTGGGAGAAACGGAGGGAATATCAGCTGTTCAAGTTAGGACTGCCCCGGAAAATCTCTTACATTTCGCAGGGTTGGATTATGCGCCCTGCCTGTCGTGTAGTCTGATGATCCTGATTTGTGCCGCCGAGTTCGGCCGCCTGCCTTCGAATGCGTACAATCTAGAGCATTGTGTGTCGACTTTGGAGTACGAGCGTGATCATCTTGTATAGCTGATTGCTGCGGCCACGGTAAGTTCGCGACGATTTATGTACATTGTCTTGAGTTCGATGTGCTGCTTCGAGAATAAGATGTTATTCCGCGGGACCCAGCAGCACCCTGAAACTGCATGCGTCCGAATCACAGGAATTGGCTGTTTGAGCGTCATCACTATGGCTGTATTGGAGCAGAAGGGATGGTCAAGAGACTTGCTGTCTACGTGATGCGTTGAGCTAGACCACAAGAATATTTTGTATTACGATACCCCTTCGCACATCCTAGTAGCAAGTCTATCGTGGCTCATATGTTAGACCGTGTTACAGCGAGTCGATGCCAGCATCCGGTCCAACGACTTTCTTTAGCTGCTCTTCTGCACGACGACGGAATTCCACTATATGACGAGCTCGCGTGTCGCCATCCTCGTTTTTGAACTTATCTAGGCAGAACGATCGCAGCCCATCGGCCTGAAGAACACTCGTCAGCTTCCTATGATCGTGTCAAGAGCGCAGAGAACCCTCACATCATCCGGAAAGCCGCCGTATGAATCCACCAACGCATCATTCAGACCCTTCTCCGCGGCAAAGTTGGGTTTCACGAGAGCGCTCGTGAGCGCGTCGATAGCCTCCGAGTTCCGCGATAGTAGCATCAAGGCTTTCGCCTTTCGGTAATACCTGAACATCAGTGAGACCTCCTGATCTGATCAATTCGACGAAAGAGGAGCAACTGACGCCTTCGCATACTCGCAATCCTCCTCGATCGCCATGTCAGCGTCCTCAAGCGCCTTTTGTGCGTCCTGTCCATCTCCAGGGAGCAGCCACGTCGCCGCCCGATTCGAGAGGCAGACCGCCTCGACAGCCTTGATCTTCACCAGCTCCACGTCTGTGGGCTTCTGCGCCGCTGCATCGTGGAGCCAATCGATCGCCTTGGTGTAGTGCTCGACGGCCTTCGTGCGGTCCTTGCTGACGAACGCCCGATTCCCGCGCTCCTTCTCATTCTCAGCCTCTCGTATCCCCTTATTCACGCCTGCGACGTTCTTTGCGTGGACGCCATTCGCTACCTCCTCCTCTTCTTCACTGCAGGACAAACGAATGAGCGTGCTGCATATCTGCCAGCGCATCTAGATCACGTACGCAGTCTCGAGTCTCCAGGTGAACGGGGCAGGAAGGGAGTCCAAGAACGGCCTCAACGTCGGAAGGTGTTGTCCGAGCTTGCGTGCGACTAGCAAAAACTCAGGAAGTTCGGGACGGAGTGGGGGAATGGGATTCGCGACTGCCTTTTGCATTGCCCTAGAGGAAAGGAAGCGGATTAGGCAGCATGCAAGAGTGAAACGAGGCTCACTCACTTCAGAACAAAATCCGAAGAAGGTAAGCCTGGCTTCTTAGTGCCCTCTGCGACTCGATACGAGCCCCTCTCATCGTCTACAGGGAAAGGAACCTCAACACGGAGAGGGTGGAAATGACGGTCATAGAAACGCACAAACGATGATCTGAAACATAGGTAGGCTGCCTGAAAATTGATTATCGAAAACACGCCCTGTGCGAGGATCTCCGAAGCCCATGTGGGTAAGCTGGATGACCCAGAATGAACCACGCTTGACGCGAAGGGAGGCGTAGTCAAAGGTCGTTAGATCAACTTGGTTTTGTTCGTTTGATTGAGAAACCGCGTTCATCAATGCGTCAAGCATAGCAGGATCTTGGGTGGAAACGTGTCGCATAAGATCGCTCATGTCTCCGCCTCCTTGGTAGCCTTGGAGGATCCGCTACGTGACAGAGTTCTGCAAGTGAGCACAACGAGCGACAAACCAGCGATGTACATCGTCCGACCTGGATTGAATTGAATAGCTCTGGCGTCATTCCGGAGGGAACTCTGTTATTAGCCATCGCGGATGGTTCTATGTGGCAAAGACTACGCAAGGCGGTCTACAAATGACTCAGAGCATTCAGTATATCCATAACGACAGTATAGTGAAGGCCTACTAGTTTGCGTGAGAGCTAGAAGTGGACTTTTTACCAGTCGCAGACCAATACCTGACTATATTTGTCGGGGCAAAAGTTTTTGATCAGCAAGATAGCAACCTGCCACACCAAGGCCGACAGTGTAAGAAGAGAAGAGCTTACGTGGCAAGATACAAGAAGACTATACCGTCGACTGATGTTTGGCGAGGTTGGAGCATCAAAGTTGACGGGGCGTGTTCTTTCAGCCAACATCTCCCTTCGACTGCGGTCCCACGTTACATATGTCCACTACGTATGTATTAGAGTGTTGTATGAATATGCCCGCCTCCGTCAGTGAGGCCCAGTGAGAACCTACATGGGTTCCGCTGGTTTACGTCGGCGAAAGTCGTGTCAGAGCGGTTGAGGTCGGAAAGTCTCGGTTCATATTGGGCGGACGATTTCAGACGCTCAAACGCTGTCTCTAACTGACCTTATGGTGACTGGATCAGACGTGCATGTCCTGACACCGGTGACGTCGACGTATCTCTCGCTTGTCTCTAACGTGTCTCTAAAGTCTATGTACACCCTTAGCTTGTGCTCACAAACCATTGCATGTGCCCTTTGGACCAGCCACCCCAGGTGTCTGTGCGTGCGGCTGTTCGCTCCTACTACCCAGTTCGCAAACTTCTACAATCACTTCGATCCACTGCCCCCGCCCGCTGATGCTGTTATGCTCTCCACCCCCAGTTATGCCATATTTCCCATTTGACCCCAGACTCAAGGGGTTTGGGATGAGGGGGAGGATGAGGATGAGTCGGACGCGAGGAGGTGTTGGGTGGATGCGCAGAGGAGTTCTTTGGTACGTGCACCAACATCGCACATTTGCATTTTCTGCACCATTCTTCCCTCTCCTTCTCCATTTCAATCGCTCCTTCCTCAGTGAAGAGGAGTGTTATTTCATGCCCATCTTCTGCCACATTTTTCCCCTTTTCTCTCCATCAATCTCCTTTCTTGGTGAGGAGGGTAAGAATATGACGTCATGCGCTTTAAGCGCCGACGTTCAAATTCGCTCAAGGTACATTTTGTCTCTTTATTCACTACGCCTACCATCTCTATCCCCTCGCGTGCAAGCCGTCTCCTCTAGGGTTTTCAGACTTTGATGCTTAACACTTGATCCCATGCCTTGCAACTTTAGCATACTACAATCAAGATGTCGGCTCGTATATTGTAAGTACTTCCTTCTCGATACAGCTTCCTGACAAGCCCTCGGAGACAACTGCGTCAAAAAAGCCACGCGCCCCTTGCAAGATGACGCGGTGGCCTCCCGCACCAGACCTGAAGGGTGCAAAGTACGTGGAAATCCACTCACCGTGCTAGGTCCCGGGTTCACTCACTCTAATAGGTGGGTTCATGCGCGCAAATGGTACACGGATGCCCATGGCACACTGGAGGCCTTCGAGGCGCACTACAAGACTCTGAGTTCCTCGTATCACAGGTAGGTCGCCCGCACTCTGTTCCTGTGTCTGCTTGATTAATTTGTCTTCGCAGAAACTCGGACATGTTGCTCCCTCGTTGACGGTACGTGAGGAGCACCGCTATTGAGTCCCATTTCTGAACCCTTCTGATGAGGCCACCTTCAGATTATCCCCAGTCTCGCAATCGGGCGCGTTCAAGTCGAACGTCGGAGGCATCGGCCTCCCACCTGTTTCAGTGGCTCGCAAGGTGGGCGGCTCCCATGCCAGTGGGATGAAAGGCTACTCCTGTCAGTATTCCACGTGTCCAAACATTTCCAGTCTGCTCCCGCTCTATTCTGTAGTTCTCGATTGTAGCTGTATATAGCACCGTGTAGCCATACGTTCCCATACGACCGTATACAGTATTAATTAATTTGTATTCAATGACACATATCGACAACAACCATCCCTGCCCAACCAGACCCGAGTGCGACCCGAGCGTAACCAGCCGCACCCGATAACACACAAACTGACCCGATGTATGGTCGTATGGCATTGTGCGACCATACAGCCTTATCTGACCGCACACAGCTGAAGTGGGGATATGCACGGAAGTTCGTATTATTTCGGGGTTCCCTACTGCATACCGTACTAATCGACCTAATACAGTAGAGACCATGTCGATTCTCACTGGGAGTGAGGTTCGACCTCACGCCTGACTTAAGTCTAAGCTCCCCTTGTTCTTGAATGCCTGCCATATACGGACAGCAGTGCCATCGGATGTAGTCGCCCGACTAGTATCGAATGGTGGGATCACACAGGAAGTACACTGATGCCGCACTGTGTTTGTGCTATACATAAGCAGCCAGCCCGCGGTACGTTCGGCCGGAAGAGAAGACAATGTATACATACTGAACGACAGACGTGGAACAACAAGAATGACAGCAGGCTCGAGGATCGCAAGTCACGACACGACAACTGGACGTGCACAATACATAGCATGTTCCTGGGAGACCCTCCCCCGTGATAGGGCATGCTGCATCCAATAACCACGACGATAGGAAGAACGGGGACGGGACAACGGCGGGAACACGCGGCATACGTGCTTGCGGTAGTCGTTGTCCATGTCCATGTCCACGCCGGGACACACGGCCCGGAGTCGGAACGGTGTCGTCAGAGAAGCTACGCGCGGCGGCCATCCGGGACAGTGGTGTCTACGAGAGCAGGTGAGACGAGCGAAGGTAGCCACACGACTAGTGGGCTCATCAACGGCATAGATCACGTCGATCAAGCTCGGAATGTCCTCTACCCTAGTCGTAGAACGTCTAAGCATAGGTGGGTTTTCGAGCAGAACAGAGCTACGAGCGTCATCCGGCGTTATTCCACAGTTGCGCCATTGAGGACAAGGGAGGAGGGAATGCACTAGTGTGGCCTGGAGCGCGTTGATCGAGATGGAAGGGGACGGCGCGATCGTTCATTCCTACACCTGGCGCTTCCTGACGTGAATACGTCGGATCGAGCTTGCGAGAATAGATGGGATCAGCGTATGCGCCAGGCACTCCAGTGTTGTAACACACAGGTGCTTGCTCAGCGAGCGCAGGGTAGGGGCCAAACAGATCCGAGTACTGACTCTGGCTCTGGCTTTGGCTCGAGTACAATTGAGAGTTGCGGGTCGTAGACAGAGACTGGACGCGTTGGTGCCCAGTAATGAATGCGGAGTTGTACTGATGTGCAGGTCCCGGCGCTACAGAAGGGTGCCCAAACCCCAGAACAGGCTGAGTCTGTAACGAGAATGTAGACAATGGAGGGCTCTGAGGTAGATTTTGCGAGTGGTATGATGGATATGAAGGGCCGCTGGTGGTGCCTGCAGCGCCTTGGAATTTGACCGTTTCGGTGTCATTGGACGACCAGATAGACGTGCCGCCAAGTGGGTGAGAGCCAAAGAGCATATGTGTCGTATGAGGAGCGGACGCCTGACGCACATGCAAGGAGCGTGCGACGTCAGGTCTAGGTGGGCTACGGAGAACACTAGACAAGATATCCTTGGCAGTCGTAACGGCCGATGGTGGCGCCGTAGAGATCATGGTCGCCGCGTGCTTCTGAGCGGCATACCTCGGAGATAGCGGTTGAGGACTGCGCGGGCTGACTTTGGTGGCAGATACGGGAGGGCTGGCAATCAGTGGCCGGATTGGAGGCGCGGGCAACGGTGCTGGAACTGCTGCGATGATGGCGGGGTCGCGAGGACCCGTACTGGCACTAGGAGAAACATCAGCTTGATAAAATGAAACCATGTCAAGAGACCAACCTAGGGTTCCAAACGATCTCGTCTTCCTCGTCCTCCTCTTCGTCCTCTTCCCCGGTCTCTGTAGGTGGACCGAAGACCTTGCGGAACGCCTGTTCGACGGGATCGTCTTCAGTCCTTGTGATGTCCGTCATGTTGTCATCGTCCACCTCAGCAGGACGGGGCTCATAGGCAATACGAGAAGGCAACCGCGGCGAGGCTGGTTTGGATAGCGAGTTGCGGTTGCAAGGCTGTACAGCCCCATGAGATGGTGCAGCAGGAGCCGATGCACTGCCGGAGCCCGAAGCACTGCTGGCGACAGGTTCCAGAAGACCGTTGACGACAAACTTGCCATCTGCGAAAGTCAATGGTGATGCCTTCGATGTACCGTGAGTCAGCACCGGTAGAGCACCAGAGAATTTCGACGTATCACGTACCTCGTCTTTCACGATAGCCTGGGCATCCACCAAAAGATCGGCGATGCGCATGAGCTGCTCCTCATTTGGATGCACCTGCTCAGGCAGGATGGGTTGTGCGGCCCGGTTCGCTGACCCACTACGCACGTCCTTCGCGCCGTCCTTGCTCGCGCCGGCGGCACCGACGGCACTAACGACCTCCCCAGGTACAAACCTCTTCAGCGGACTAAAGCCGGCCATCTCTACATCTTCTTCCAGCGTCGTTACCAGTTTCGGAAGTTTCTCCGTTGGGAACGCCTTGTGGAGTGCTGTCGAGAACTGAGCGTACGCGCGCCAGAACTCAGAAAGGCCAGGAATAGTGAGCGACAGGGATACACTGGGGGACCGCCAATCATTGCCCCTCCGACGGTCCCGACCTTTCAACTTGGACAAGCTGGTTTCAGCCTCTACTCCGTTCGCGCCTGATGGTGCCGGTTGACCAACGTAGCGCATATTGGCGCGAAGCCACTTGCTGGCGATTCGGAGTGCGGGTAGCGTCCTACGGAAGGCAGCTGTGATACGCTGCGCCAAGTCATGTTCACCAGCGTCCTCAGGGGGAGCCTCTGCAATCTGTACAACGCCGACCTCAAGCAGGATTCGATGCATCATGAGTAGGTGCCCAGCGATGGAGCTCTCGACGACCGACGTAGTCGATAGCGATGAGCCTTTCCTGTGTCCATTAGTGGGAGCGGAGCGAAACATGCGGTGCTTCCACAGTGCGCCTTGGGCGAGGACTGTGGTTTTGAGGACGATATCGAGTGGGAGGATGCGCTCAGAGACGAGGGACCTGAAGTCTTCCGCAAGCTTGTTCGAGAGGTTGGGCGACAACGCCTCCGCCCTGAGCGTTTTCCGTCAGCGAAACACGCTCTACGAGAAGGACAAGACACTCACTCTTCCGGTGGGACTCGCCATAATGCATGCAAAACGATCAGCTTCTCCTTGAACGACTCAACACGCAGACGCGGAGCCATAGATGGCGCCTCTCCCCGCGCCAGCTCCTTCTCCCGCTCTCTATCCCTCTTCGCACCCCTCGCCTTCCACTGGTCCAATGTCTTCGCCAACACCGTCCCCAAATTCTCTGCAGCAGTATCGTACGGTGACTTCACGCACAGCGCCCGATAGTAGTGCACGAGGGACCCAAATACATCCTTCTGGTATGACGCGAGAATCGCCATCTGGTGCGCCGGGTTCCCGTCCTGCGGCAGGAGGATCCGCGCCTGCTGGTAGCATTGCTGTGCCTTGTCGTAGTTGCGCATACGCGGCATCACAGGGGCCTGCGCACCCGCCCCGTTTGCCACGGCAGCGCCCTTCTTACCGCGGCCACCCTTCTGATTCCCAGACGCACCAGCGGCAGGGGGCCCGTCCTCGTGCCCTGCCCGCGGACGCCCACCCGCCTCGTTGTACTGCTCCTTGTAGCGCTCGATGTCCCCAAGGCAGACCAACGCCTTACTGAGGATGGCCATCCTGCCCTCGCGCTGGTCACGGGTTGTTGGCGTGAGGGAAGGCGCTACCGCAGCAACGTCCGCATCGGACGGGAACTGGTAATGGTTACGCTTTGGGGGACCGTTCTCGGACGGGGGCGTGGTGTCGTCGGGAATGATGCCGAGCCCGGCGAGGACGTGCTGGGCGTCGTCGAGGGCAAAGATGCGACGGATACGCACTATCAGCTGGATCCAGAACTTCTCTTCGTCCGCGAGGAACTGCCGGAAGCGTTGGAGGAGCTTGCGATACTCGACGACGCCGTGCCCGCCATGCCCTCTACCCTGCCCTTGGCCCCGTCCTTGCCCCGGCCCATCCTGGCCTTGCGCTGACTGCTGCTGTTGCTGCCGAGGAACATTGTGAAGCGCGCGGTCTAGTGCGGTAATGCGCTGCTTGTAGACAGCAATGAAGGCGTAAGATGTCTGCATCCATAGTTGATTCTCCGCATCCTTGGACTCGGGGGCATACGGGTGCAAAAGGAGGAGGCGCAAGCAATGTCGGCGCAATCTAGGGTACGCATACGGCCTGTTCAGATACGAACGCCCTCGACCATGCACGCAACGATGAACGCACTGTTTCCGTGTGAAGTCGGTCTCCTTGTCCCAAGGATCCTTAGTTTTGAGTGATTCTTTCAGTGTTTGCTGGAGGCTCTTCGCCTCTCTGTCTCCCGAGTTCAGCTGTGGCTGGTGGATAGCGACGGCGACGGCGAACGCTCCGCCACAGTAAGCACGTACCTGGCGAGATGTGAGGCTTCTTCTGTCATGATGGTTGCTCATAGCTCATCACGGAAGGTGAAAACGCACATAGTTGAGTTGGATGCTGAGGAAGAGAAGAGAAGGTGATATCTGGGGAGCCACCCACCACTCGCTGACAATTGCCGCCAGCGGCGCTAACTCAATAACGTACAGACCCCAGCAACGAGCGCATCGTATCTGTCAGCCCAACATCCTGCGATTCATACCAGGCGAGGTAGATGTACAAGATGGTAGCATTACTGATGAAACGTAAAGGTGTGCACATGACAGGTACGGTGAACCAGAGATAGTAAAACAATCAAGAAAGCAAGGACAACATCCATCTATGTACTCGTAATATGCGGAATCCAAGTATCCCAGAGCGAAATGCAGACAGTATCTCGCTACTCTAGTCGTCTTCAGAGTCATCATCATCATGTCCGGTCGCACGGAAGAGCGCCACGAGCTCGTCCATGCCGAGACGCATGTTCTTGAGCTTGTCACCGGCGAGGGTAGCAGCGGCGAGCGCGCGCTTCTTCTCCTGCAACTATATTTCCCGAACGCCACAAAGTCTTTAGGCACGATCATAAACAAGTGACGCGATCAAGAAACAAACGAACCTCAAGGATGCGCTGCTCAACACTGTCAGGGACAGAGAGCTTGTGGATGTTGACGGGGCGCTCCTGGCCGAAGCGGTGAGCACGATCAAAGGCCTGGTCCTCGAGCGCAGGGTTCCACCACGGGTCGACAAGAATGACATTATTGCAGCATGTCAAGTTCAGACCGGTGCTACCGGCCTTGAAGGAGATAAGGATGACCTTCGTCGACTTGCTCTTGCTAATTCTCTCCAACGAGTCGTCGCGCGCGGCCTTGTTCATCGACCCATCGTCTGATACCATTCACACGTCAGCACCGGGCATTTAGCCTCAAGCGAAGTTGAGAAAAACTCACATCGGACGAACTTGATACCCTCGCTCTTCAAGAACGGCTCAATCAAGTCCAACATGCTCGTAAACTGCGAGAAGATGATGGTCTTCTCGCCCTCGCCCCTCTCCTCCGTCTCCTTGAGGATTTTCACGATCATCCTTGTCTTGCTCGAGTGCGGTGGCAGCCCCGAGTTCGGGTCTGCCGCCGCCTTCCTCGCCGCCTTGTACAGCTCCTCACAATCCACGCACACGTCCTCCTTCCACGTGTTCTCCGCTGTCAGCGGCGCTTGACAGACCTGACACGGCTTCTTCCCGAGTCCCAAGCCCGCGAGCATCCCTGTGAGCTCATCGGTCTCGTCATCGTCCTGACCGTTGGTGTTCTGGCTCGCGGTCTGGGGCTCAACGGCCTCGTTGTCGCCCTTGTAATCCTTGGAGATCAATGCGGGGTGGTTGCACGCCTGGCGCAGGCGCAACAGGAGGATGAGGACGGAGGTGTAGGCCTTGCCGAAATCGCCCTGCTCGAGCTGCTCGAGGCTTTTCTGGACTTTTTGCTCGACCGAGTTGTAGAACTCGCGCTCGACGTGGTTGAACTCGCACTCTACGACTTGTACCAGGCGTGGCGGGAGCTCGATAATAGGCTTGCCATTGATCAGCGTCGCCTTCGTCCGCCGGAGCATAATCGCGCGGAGAACAACCTAGACACAACGGATATTGAGACTGCTCGTGATACAGGATGCGGGGGTGGATAACGTACTTGGAGACGCTTGAGCGCGCGGACGGGCTTGCCAGCCTTGACAGGCTTTGCGATGGAAGTGTTGAAGGTACCCCAGTCGTTGAGCGGGCTTATTCGCAAGAACTTGATAAGGGAGTAGATCTCGTCGACACTGTTTTGCCTGCAGCAGGTCATGAGTGATTTGCAGTGACGGAGAAAAAAAACATGACACTTACATAGGCGTGCCAGTTAGACACCACCGGTACTTGGCATCCAGTGCGCAGCAAGCAATCGCCGACTTCGTGGTGCGGTTCTTGATGTTGTGAGCCTCGTCTGCCTCGCCATTAGTCGCTGGCCTCAACACCAACGAGCCTACGACCTACCGAGGACGACACGCCACCACTTCACCCTAAACAGCGCGTCCTTCTGCTTACCACGCCTGGCCGTCGACTTAAGACGCTTCGAAAAGTCATCCGAGTCTTCATCTGAGTCGCTGTCTTGCACCGTAGCCTTCTTTCCTTTCCCCTTCCCCTTGCCTTCGTTCTTGGCAGGAGCGAACGCACCGTACTCAGAGGTGACCACCGAGTACGACGTCACGACAATGTGAGCCCGTTCGAGTTCGTAGGGGTCTTCGTAAAACGATCATGAGCACATGCAACCACTGCAAAAGGAACATAAGAAGAGGACGCACCAGTAGTGCGACTCGGTCCGTGGTGCTGGACAACCCGGAGACCGGATGTGTATTTCTTGACTTCGCTCGCCCACTGCGACACCAGTGCCACGGGACAGACGACACTGCACAAGCACATAACTTAAGGGCACAAGCATGTCAAACAAGCCGCACAGACGTACAGAGTTGAACCGGACCACCCGGCCTTCTTGTCCTTACCGGACGGCCGACCCTCGACGATCCGCGTCAAAGTGGATATAGTCTTGCCCAAACTGCCCGGATAGTCAGAATCATCACCCGAACATCAAAAATATATCCCACCCCATGTCGTCGGCGAGGATCCCGCCCGTCTTCTTCCCCGACTCACGCTCCGCCATCCACAACCGGCTCTTGATCTGGTGCGGGAGCAACAGCACTCCCTCCCTGAACCCCTCAACAGTCGCGTCTTCGATCGTGTACTGGACTTCCCCGTCGTTGTACTCTTCCGCGACAAAGTCGCGCAAAGCCTTCTCCGTGTCGGCTTGCGTCATCAAGCGCTCCTCGACGTCGACGACGTTCGGGATCTCGATCTTCTCCTGATCACCGGCAGCCTGGGACGAAGATGCGACGAGCGGCTGGGACGAAGACATCTTAGCTGAGTATCCTGGGGGCCGTTGGATCTTGGGCTGAGTGGGGATGGCGATGGGTACAGCAGGCTTCGAGAAGCCGGTCTGCTGAGGGGCTGTTCGGGGTTGCGCGTCGTTGACAGGCTGAGGGCCGAGCGGCGCGGACCTGACGTCCGGAGTTCAATTACCCATTCACTTAAAGCGACGGACGAGGAAACATACGTGAACTCGATCTCGTCTTCTTCGTCGGACGAGATGACAATGGGTGCCCGAGGTGTCGTCTTGATCCTCACTGGTTCGGGTGATGATTCGCTTGCTGTCGACGCAATACTCTGGTGACCTTCTTAGTCTGAAAAACAATCACTTCAGCCCGGGACTTACGATCACGTTTTGAGGAGCGGGAACCACTGCAGCTGGCTTGCTGGCCGCCTTCGGTCGCAAAGGAACCAAGTCGGGGTACAGTGCAGACTCCGCAAATTTTCGTCGGCTGCAAAGAAAGTATAAGTACACGTATGCGACAACGAGTCACGAAATAGCCGGTGGACAAAGCTCCAATTGAGGAGAGAGTTGGTCCCGATTTGGACGAAGAGTGGGCCAGTGAACGTAAAGACGGAGCCGCGAAGACGGAAAAGAAGCCTCAAAACGCCGCATTTGTGGCCGCAGCGTAGCCGGCAGAGAGGTCGGCGGATGACGGACAGCTCGATCCTGGGATCCATAACAGGGTTGCTATTCTAGACATCTTCTATCCCTGAGCACCTCCTCAGAAACATCCATGTCGTTCAATGATGTTAGGGTCCATTGCAGGGATGCGATGGACCGGAGTGAGCAGTAGCAAGACAGCCTTCCTCGAAGTCGCACATGCGGGCGTCCCAGAATTGTCATGCACGTTCCTCATGTTCGTGCGATTCCGTTGTACCCACGCCCTTTGTATCATTGACTCGTAATTGAAAGCGGCATCGGTTACGCCGCTCGCACTCGCTAACACGACGGGCAAAGCGCCTGTTCCCGTAATATAAGAACAGTGTGAAAACAGGACTGATGGGTTGATGTTTCGCGAGTGTTCCCGAGGTGCTCGGAGGGAACGGAGAACGACATATTTCCTGGTTGTTTCCTGAATGCAAGCGAGAGGCTCCAGGTGACCAGGAATGGGAAAGTTCACGGAAGCAGGTGGTGAACATGGCAGACCAGGAAGTTTGCGCATGTTTCCGTAGAGTTTCCCATTTCTGGATACACAGACCCTCTTTCTTGATTTCGGGAAACAGCTCAATCTCCACTCCCTCGAACACCCGGGGAACATTCGCGCAACATCAACCTCTCAGACGTGTTTTCCCACTGTCTCCCTATCCGAGAAACAGGTGTCTTGCCCATCGTGTAAGGCTTGTTGAGCATCGTGGAGGCCGTAACACCAATCTAGGGCGCGTTCCATGCGGCTGTGGCTGCCTCGCGTTGCGCGAGTGGCCAGATCCCCTCTACTATGCCGGCCGACTCGTCTCCCCACTGTGAATGAGGAGCTTGAGCTACTCACTATTCCTCCATATTGATCGGGATGATTCCGAGCTGAGGGACGAGACTGACTGTGTGCGGGATAGTGGTGGTAACGGACTAAGTTGAACAACGCGCTGCAGCACCTCAGACGCCCAATAATGGACCGCGTCGCACGTCATGTGACCGAGATGCCGTACTGCACCTCGCACACGAAGCAAACGAGGCAACCTCCGGTCATTGCTACGAGCGCGGACTCCAAGGGGGCATCTGCACTAATGACAATATTATGCCCGACAGCAAGGACTACGTCACTGTGCCAAAGGGCGTAACGGGCACAACGAATGGCTTCGCAGAAAGAATAACAGTCTATTGAATCGGGTCCCGTCATAAGATCACAGCATGGGCACTACAATAGTATGGAAGCGTATGTGGGGTATGCAGATATGTGTATCATGAATCGTCATCGTCCGAGTCGTCCTTCGCCAGTCGGCTGAGCAGAGAACCATCGAAAGCGCCTGGAAGACGCAAGAGTCAGCATCGTAGAAGATGACGAAGCCGAAGAATGTACGTACGGCCAACCGATGCGCTATGACGTCCTCTGTACGCCGCCAAAGGAGAAGAAGGAGAGGGCGGGACCGAGGAAATGGAGGAGAGGAAGGACGCGTCAGGTGGCGACATAGTGGACCCGGGGATTGTGTAGTTTATCGTGCGGGACGGTGTCGAAACGGGGGAGGGTGCATAACTGGAGAAGGCCTTTTGTCGATGCGAGCTTGGCTAAAAAGGAATGCAACGCTATCAAGACGTAGCCAGAGACAGAGCAGACTACAGCACGTACCGAAGGTGTCAGCCCTTGCAGGCGCCACTGACGCGTAGGTGGCGACAAAGGCGTGTTCTTTGGGGGTTTTGCGGGGGAGGGAGGTGGAGGAAGTGGCGCACGAGGATAATTCAGAGCGTACGCCGCTTGTAGAATGTTCAAGGCGAACACGCCGAAGACGAGCAATTCTGCGATGCGTCGATCAGCCGCGGTTCCTACGAGCGGGACAATGGGGAGAACTCGCCTGCTGCACAGATGTAATAATACGGCCCGCTGCCCACATTCCGACCCCAGACAGTATCAAATGCTCTCCAAGGCGAAGGGACGGGCAGCAAATGAGAGAGAATCGCCAGGCCAGCCAGTCCCACAGAGTTGGTACGTAGTCGTGCGATGGCCTCGCTTCTTAGGGGCTTCAACCAGTCTAGGAGTTTCCCACGCGAAGACATTATTACCGTCCTCTTCAGGTGTTCACAGGAGACACGATTCGATCCGAAGCAGAGCACAGGAAAATATAGATGAGCGATGAGTGTCGTTGCGAGCAAAGTGCGTTTTCGAACTTCGATTTAGCGGTCTCGATGTCGTCTGCCGAGAGGCGCCTACACCTAAATGCAGTCACACGAACACGGACCGAGGCGGGCCGCATGGCTACTACGTACATCAGCAAAAAGGTATAAGTAATGACTGAGATTACACACTGGTACACGACCGCGCAAACGCCAAATTGTCGTGCGCCAAGCACAAAGTGTGGCGGGCTACCATGCAGCTTCGTCTTGGCAGGCATTGTTGGTGCCCAAAAGACCAGGGTGTGCAATGACCGAAAATACGACGCAATGTCGCCAACACATCGCTAACATTGCACAGCATTCGTGGAGTGGCAGCGGTGGGCGAGAGAGACATTCGAGGGCCTTCGATAAGAGACGTGCGTGCGCTTTCTTGAGTTGTACGCGATGGCAAGGGCCGGAATCGGGCGCATGCGGCGGCCAAGATTCACCAATTGCGTCTGGTGTCGGGGCCATTGTCTTGGAATTCTGACATGGGATGAGTGTGCCTGCTGGGAAGATCAATGCACGTAGAGAATATTCATAGACG